ACAAACAAATTAATAAATTCATAAAAGCTAAGGTAAAAATGGCGGTTAAAAAATAAATTCGTCAGAGAGTTGACGATGAGCCAGAATTAAATCAACCACATTGATAAAAAGTGAATAAATACAAATAATAAATCAAATATAATATATTTCTTCTAGGATTTCAAATTCCGTTAAATGTAACAATTTCTAGAAGGTCAGAATCTATACATTTCGGTCGGTTAACTTAAAGACATAATAAACCATCTAGGGCTATTTATTTATTTTTTTTTTAATTTATGCCCAAATCTGTACAGGATTTGATCTGATATAGAAGCAAAAATTATGTTTAGGTTCGAGTCTCCACAGAAGTTTCCGACGGTATTATTTTGAATCAGTATAACTTACTTGCATTATTTACATTATTCGGACTGTTATCCTCATCTTCATTGCCATATTCACAATGTTTCGGCCGTTGTACGCTCCAGCCTTTATGTTTATGTCTTTCTCTCTATATATATATCTATATCTCTGAGATGAGATATTATGATTACTTGCATTATTTACATTATTCGGACTGTTATCCTCATTCTCATTGCTATATTCACAATGTTTTGGCCGTTGTACACTCCGGCCTTTATGTCTACGTCTCTCTATATATCTGTCTATATCTCTAAGACGGGGTATTATGATTACTTGCGTTATTTACATAATTCGGACTGTTCATTTCTCATTGCCATATTCACAACGTTCAGGCCGTTGCACTCTCCGGCCTTCTACAGGTGATTGGACCTCTGAGATGAGGTATTATGATTACTTGCATTATTTATATTATTCGGACTGTTAGACTCGTCTTCATTGCAATATTCACAACATTTCGACTGGTGTACGCTCCGGACTTCTTCAGCTGATTGGAATTTCGAATCGAACCCTTTATTTTGTCCACAGAAGTAGATTGTTCTAGTTCCAAGTGCCATGCCTCTTCCTCAAGGAAACATGGCCCAGTGGATAAAGATGTTGGTTAGATCTAGTGACTAGATCCAAAGAGTCCTGAGTTCAATATCTGGCTACAGCAGTGGCGAACAAATTCTTGGAGAGTAGAGTTGAATGGAAATAACTGAGCCACCTGCAAGAGGCATGGTACGTGGAACTAGATCACTCTACCCCGGTGGGCGAAATAAAGGGATCGGTTTCTACACTTTTCTTTGTTTCTAAAATGAAATCTTATTTCTTAAGAATTTGCTTAGGTTTTGGAATACAGTTTACATTATCCCAGTGCGTCGTCGGATTTGTACCATTGTCCGCGTTTCAGATTATGTATACACCGGGTTTAACAACAACTTTCCAAATCGTATAACAGCAAAATTGTACAATTGTTAGATTACGCTTTGAACATTTGTATCTTAGAAATGATTAAAAACATCTTACTGGAATTCTTCGAGATTTTTATGTGGACTCTGCTTTCAGCAATAAGAATATATAATTACGCTCAAAGCTTAAGAGAAGTATCGTGATGAAATCGATCATAAATGAAAACGACATGTCCATTATTAATTAATCTTAGCAAAGGATCGGAAGCTCATGAAGTATAGAAATAAAGCTTAAATATATATTCATTATTCCAGAATCATTTTCCAAGATGATTTTCACCCACTCTAACCTTCTAATATACTGTTCTGGAGTAAGAAGGTGCCTCACAGGCGACGCGTACGATTTCATTTTCAAGTCTTTTTCCACTGCTCTTTGGAGTGTCATAACTGAAACTCCTCTTTCACGTGCCAAACGTCTTATGAATTGAGTTGGATCTTTTCTAATTTAAATAATGATCTCTCATTCTGATATGACCTCCTGATCGAGTCTTTCTTTTTACTATTGCCCCCTTTTCTTTTAAACTGTTCACCGTTCTCTTTATGTTTCTTGAAATGACTTTGAAGAAGGAAGCCAGTGTATGAATGTTGGTACCATTACGGAAGGCCTGAATGCTCTGTTTCATCTCAGCTGGCAATACATAGTCGGGATGACACAATATGATTTTAACCTGCTCTCTTTTTAGCTGAATAACTCAATGGGGTTTTTTCAGTCATTCTTACGAAAAATGGTGGTAAGTTTGCTAAACGTCTTATCTGAAAACTGGAAAAATAGAAACTCAAAAACAAACTGATCTCTATTAATCACCACATAGATCGTTCCCTGCTCTCCATTAAAATGTCTGACGCTCAACTTCTCGAGAGCAACTCTCTGCGACTGCTCGGTCTCACGTTGTCTGCTGACCTGTGATGGAACAAATACATTGAGTCAATTGCTTCGTCCACCGCAAGGAAAATTGGCTCCCTGTGCCATGCCAGGAAATTTTTCTCCCCGGAATCGATCCTCCATATCTACAAATCAACAATTCGCCCTTGCGTGGAGTATTGCTGCCATATATGGTCTGGAGCCCCTTCTGTTTGCCTCGGGGTTCTTGATAGGCTCCAGAGGCGGATATGCAATATAATTGGCCCTGTTCTGGCATCTCGTCTACAGTCGCTCTCTCACAGATGCACCGTCACCTCTCTCTGTCTTTTTTACAAATACTTTCATGGTATTTGCTCCGAGGAGCTGCATTCGCTCGTTCCCAGACTTCATAAATTCAAGCGCCCTACGAGGCTGGCATCCCGCTCTCACCCTTTCACTGTCGAAACTCCTAAATGTAGCCGTCTCTTCTACTCCAATAGCTTCATGTCTCGCACCTCTCGCCTGTGGAACTCCCTTCCCTATTCCAGTTTCCCTGAGAGCTATAATCTCCAACTATTCAAATGTAATGTCAATCGACATCTCCAGTTGCCTTGATCTATCCACTATCCTTCTCCCCATCCTTTCCTCTATCACTCCTATTTGATCTTGCTCCAAATCTTCTGTAACTCCTTGCGTCCTAGTGGCTTCCCGCCTTGCTTGGGATGAAACGCTTAAAAAAAAAACAAAAAAAAAACTCCATTACTTTAGTATTTTTTAGATATTAAACATTTAATTATACTGTTACACGGTTTGAACAGTTTTCCTGTTACACCCGTTAGGTCCTAATTTTGTGTCATATAGGAAAGACAACCAGTTCAAATTCTAACTATCAAGAAACGTTACGAACTTTTGTTCCTGCTCAATAAAATTCCAAAGACAAGGTTGATCAAACACTGATCGGATGTTCTGGACATTAATCTACAAAGAAACCTATGGATCATGACTAATTAGAAATCTTAATGAGCACAAACTCGAATGAAAATGAATCACCGAATGTATCAAATGAAAAAGACCCAAAATAACCGAGATGATGATGATATTTGGTGGGTACAAATTAAAAGATGGAGTGAAAAATATGAGAGCCAAAAAGGCTAAACGGTTACCGATATTTGCTCTTCACAGCCAATCGAGAGAAAAAACACGCAAATATGTGCATAACTATATTTTTTATAACAAATGAGAAAAATTACTACCAGAGAAGTATAAATTACAAACGCATAATATTTAGAGCCAAAGGCTATTTCTTCTGCTCACAGAGGGAAGGCTGCTTAGACTTAATATAGATGTCTTCAAATGCTTATTCACTTGAAGTAATTCTCGCTTCTTTTTTTTGTCCTGTGCATATATTTATGTGTTCTACTCGAGTGAACTCTGAAGAGCGAGGAGCGATAAGTGCTTCGATATCGTTTTGTTATTTCTTTTTTTCTTATTATATATTCTGATCCATTTTCGGTGAGTAAATTTACTTTATTTATTGCTCTTACTTCTTCACTGTCTTATTCACACACACACACACACACACACACACACACACACACATATATATATATATATATATATATATATATATATAAAGTCATTTTTTTTTATGTTTATACGTTCTTTTTATAGATACAAATATTTAAGTAAATGCTGGTTTATAATAAACAGTATTAACGACATTTACCGGCCAGAATATCCGAGAAACTTTCATAGAAAATATGCATCCTCCGAAAGGAATCGAACCTGTATCCTATACGGAACCGTCATATAGCCTCACGGGCTTTTACCGATTGAGCGACAGAGGAGCGTTTCGGTTAGCAATGTCGATTTTCCTTTTTTTAAACTACATTTCTCCATGATTTTCTCGTGTACATTCATATCTGCTCGATGCGTATCAAAATGTAAACAAATAATTGAAACATTAAAAAATATTAAAATATTCACACACACTGGTTTGTATATTAATATGTGTCCTTTTATTATTTCAGTTAGGTTCTTCAACTAGTTTCGGACAACAAGGCTATAATCAGAAGAAACAAAAAACTACCTTTTAGTAGCAGTGAATGACTGTTTCTGAAGAAAGTTTATCTGTTGTTATCATTGTTTTTTTATCGTTAATTTTAGTCAATCGTTGTGTTGGTCAAATGGCCTCTTTCAAGTTGTTTTTAATAGAGGATGGGAGATTCCTGACTTTAAGTATTCCCTCCTTGGCCATTTTGCCAGTTTTATCCGTTACTGGGAATGGGATTTGTTAAATGTATGTTATTTTTTAGTTCTTTGGGAGTGTGTGCGTAAAATGTGTGTATGTGTATATATTAGTATGAGTGTGTGTATAAGTGTGAGACCTCAACACCTCTGCAAGCATGCCTGTCTTGTTTGAGTCAGAATATGATATATATATATATATATATATATATATATATATATATAGATAGATAGATAGATAGATAGATAGATAGATTCTTTTAAGATGTCCTTTTTTATAGGCTCAATGAGATGACAATGATTGGAAGATAATCAAAGTGGAAAAATCAATATAATAAGGAGGAAAATAGAATTGAATGTATAAATAAATAAAATCAGATATGATAATAAAAATCAAAGAAATGTTAATGTCTCAATAAAAACGCTTAACTGATCAAAAAAGCCAACATTTAAAAATAATTAGAATTGTGTTACCGAAAGAGAGATATCAACTCTCTTTTACTCTCGAGTAGTTTTGTTGAGTGAAATGAAAGAATAAAGAAAATATTCTGAATAAAACAAGACGTATGCAAATAGTTTCCACCGAGTTCCATCGGAATACAAGCTTCTTCTTCTTCTTCTTCTTCTTCTTCTTCTTCTTCTTCTTCTTCTTCTCTTTCGCTTCCTCATTCGTATTTTGCCTCATCCCCATCCTCCCTCTTCGTCTATTTACTCCTCCTCCTTCTTTTTCATTTTTTTCTGATCCATATTTAACTTCTTCCTAATTCTCCTCCTCTGTGATGCATTGGGAATCGACTCGGAACGAGAAATCGGGAGCCGAGTTCAAATTCCAGTCAGATTCTTTACATTCATTTACATGCAAATAAACTTGGGTGTTAATCGATCTCTTCTCCCCACAGCTATGGGTTGAATAGCAAGACAAACTGTTGTGGATTCCGAGATGAAATCCGGTCTCCAATGAATGGCAAACCCAGGAATGGAATATAACAAATAAATGTATTTACACAATAATACAATTGGTAATACGGTTAGTAGATCCAGAAATGCGGTTAGTAGCAATAATAATAATAATAATAATAATAATAATATATATATATATATATATATATATATATATATATATATATATATACAGTCTGGTAAATTCAGTCTCAAGTAGGGCTTCCTTTAGAGTCTACGTACTCGCAGCTATGACTTCTACAAGCGGTTACCTCAAACTATTACTCTACCTCCAACTCAATCACAATCTCTGCACACTCTCAGTATATTCTGACTGACTCTGGGTATTTAACGGCAGCAGTCCAAGTACACACTGGTCGAGTCCACTTGTATGAAAAAAGGGGTGGGCCCCATAACACAAAATATGTTCTATAGCCATGGTTGGCAACCTCTCTATCGCCGAAAGAAACGGCAAAATACGGCGGTAAAATCTTCTGAATAGTCAGTCATGTATCGAAAGATACCTGATCGCCCAAGTGAGTATCACGTATGGCACTTAACTGACTGACTGAATTCTCCTCCTCCTCCTCGTCGTTATGTTTCTTCTTCCTCTTCCTCCTCCTTTAATATCGAGTAAAATAATTCCCCGGTATCTGCTCAGACCAACGTGGATAGACAAATTCATCTAAAATGGCTATAGAGGAAATTTTCTTCCGTAGCTCTTGATGTGGTCACTCATTTTGCCATAGTTTCCCTTCTTTATTCTCTTGTCCATCAATTCTGTTCTTTTTCAGATGATCACCAAAAACCAGGAAGGTTACTAAATCATCTTTTTTTCTTCAGATGTTTGTTAACACCACGGAGCAATTTTTTTCCTATTTTCGTGAGAAGTCGTTACAAGTTACATTTGAAGTCTTCTATAGACAGTCAGATATTAGTTTAGACGAAAAAAAGCAATGCAGTTATGAATAAGAAGAGTTGAAATTAATGCATGTAAAATTTCAAAGCTCTAATATCATTACTTCATAATCAACCTATGAACTTTTCAGGCCACCTTCGTACCTAGAAAGAAACAATGGAGTTATTAATAAAAAGCATTTAAATTAATGCATGCAAGATTTCAAAGCTCTGGTATCATTACTTCATAATCAACCTATGAACTTTTCAGCCCAGCTTCGAACCTAGAAAGAAACAATGGAGTTATTAATAAGAAGGGTTTCACTTAATGTATGCAAGATTTCACAGCTCTAGCATCATTCCTTCATAGTAAGCTATGAATTTTTTTCAGCCGAGCCTCGTATTGGAGATGATAGTTTATGATTTGAAAAAGTAGATCTTAACTCCTACTTCTTGGAACATTTGCTAGAAAATGTTGACCATTCATAACTCAAATATTTCTATCTATGCCTTCACCATAACCAAAATTCTGGCCTCTGGAAGGGAAGCAGGATTAACAAATGATCTAAGGAAATACAGATGTATGTTTCAGCTTAGTTATTTAGTTCACGCGACCTGGGTTCGAATCCCAGCATTTATCAAAGGGATGAGAGCTTGAAATTATCGGTGTGGGAGTATTTTAATAGCTTAGTTCCAGTTGACTCAAGTGCGACTGGGCAGAGGAAATTGTTCGTAAGTTTTCGATGGCCGTGCAAAGTCCCAAGGTCAAGAAATGTTTGAGTGTAATAGCAATATTCACCTGATGAGCTCATACGATTCAGGTCCGCTTAGCATACTTGCGATATTAACCACAGTTTGTCGCTATGCGTACTTAAGAAACACATATCTACCTGAAAAGTAACCAACTACGGGGATCACCTTGACAACCTGGTAAACTTCCAAAAGTGAAACCAACCTGTATAATAACGACTCTTTTAGGGTGATCGCAATACAGTTGAACACCCAGTGCTCAAATACCAAAGAATATTCGGGGATTGTTCAAGGAATATATGGATTTGATTTCGATATGTGTAGCGTAGATGTGCTGTCCATCGACAGTATTATTGTTGAAAATCCATTAAATATGTCTATATACGCCTGGGTTTAATAAGAATAAAAAAGTTGAACGGTGGTCTTAGAAAAGAAGCCGTATTCAAGCGTCCAACGAGTTTACATACGTGGGAAAGTAATATTTGCCATCGTGACCTGAAATCGAGAGTTTATGTCAACCGACTTAAATCTCAGGTCTAGGATAGCCTTCCATCAAGACCAGATAGAAATAGGGTGGGGCGGTGTGATTCGTGGCAAAATCAGCAAATTCAATTACGGTTTAAAAAAACACGTGAAAATCCAGGAGGATGACTTTATTTAATAATAAAACCTGTCAAGTTTACCGCTTTTGAACGCCAGTAGCTATCCTCTGTGAAAGTTTCATGCCTGGCGGAAGAGCTACCTCAGAGCCAATGATTTTTTTTATATTTTACGAATAATTCGTTTATATACATACAATTAACAAAATGGCAATTCTCTGTAAAGTTGTTACAATCGTATATATATATATATATATATATATATATATATATATATATATATATATATATATAGTTAGTTAGTTTATGAAAAACTAGGTAATCCGTATGGGTAGACCCAAGAGGATAAAATCCAGAGAGCTCAATGTAAATCCAGAGCAAATAATTTAAATAAAACAGACAACTTTAAGGTTCCATGTAATAAATTATTTCACCACAGCCATTTTAAAGGACTGCGGATCATCAGACTTTACTTCCAAACAATATATATATATATATATATATATATATATATATATATATATATATATATATAAGTGAACATAGAAGTCAACAAATTAGAGGCGACAGTCTGTTTCATGCTATATGCAATCGTCAGGCCACATATGCTGTTATTTTTCTCGGCTATTTATATATATACGGGTTAGTGGTTGCATTGTGGGTATTCTATTATGGCGGTTATTTTTACCGGAAGTCGTTTGTTTATTTATCTGGGTCAAATTATATTGCTCGTTTTTATTTTTGTTTCTTATTTTATTTATTTATTTATTAACGTAGTAAAAATTTGTTTATATCACTTATTTAACAGTTTTGTTTTGGTTTGATAATTTAATTAAAGCTATTTGTTCAATTTTGGGGTTGGTTGTTGTAGTTCATTCTAACTATTATTTTGGCGGGAAGAGTTTTTAATTTGGGATTGGTTTGTCTATTTAATTACTTGGATGCATTTAGGTCAATTTATTTTACTTGTATATTCTCTCTTTTCGGTTTTCGGTTTTAAGCAACATAGTATTTATTTATTTTTTATTTCCATTTTTTTTAGTGTATTTATTTGTTTTTATTTTATTTTTTCCGTTTTTCATTTTTTACGTTACGTAGTAAAAATTTATTTTCATGCCTGCATTTTGAGATGAGCTCGGATCTTTTATTTAATAATTTATTTTGGTCGGGGAAAGTAATGATAGCTATTTTTTCCTCCAAGCAAAGTTTGCAAGTTTTTGATTGGTTGTTGTAGGCTAATGACTTTTTCTTTATCTTCCAAGATATTTTTGGTGTGATGTGCGTTTTGTTTTTAATTTCCCAGATATACTTAGAAAGCATTGTACTGTTCGCATATTTACTATTTGTGAAAGATGTTTTGTGTGTATTATTTATTTGCTTCCAGGGTCCTTCAGTTACTCCTATGTATACTTTTTCTTCATTATCTGGTGATTTTATCGTGGCTTGGTATATTACGTTGTTTTGTAAACAATTTCCGTTTAAGGGACATTCGTTCTTTATTCTGCAGTTGCACGTGGGTTTAATTTGTTCGTGTGGTTTGTTGATAATTTTCCTATTGTGCTTTTTTATTATTTGTGCCATGCTCTTGGTGCAGCTGTAGCTGATTTTTACTGTGTTTTTGTTGAATATCTTGTGTAGGTGCTTGATTCTTGTTTGTGTAAGAGTTTGAAGAATATTTTTCCGACGTTTGTTTTACGTTCTTGCTGTACGGTGGGTTGAACCATATGATATTTCTTCTCCTGTTGGCCTTTTTTGTGTTCTGTGGTGAGTATGTGAGTATTGCTGGGGAATCCGCTATCTTTTTGGGCCGTTTCATAGTCTTTCTTAGCTTTGTTAAATAGGGATTCATTGAGGAATTGTCGGAGAGCCTGCGGTTAATCGATTTTATCTGTTTGATTATAGAAGGTGGATGGTTGGAAGATGTGTGTATGTAGAGTGGTTTATCATTAGGTTTTCTGTATGGTTTTATATGTGCCTTCTCTTAGGTTGAAGGTAACATCTAAGAAAATCTACTTTTTTAGGTTAGTTTTTATATCTATGTCGAATCCGTTATTTTTAAAAAAATTTATTATTGCTTTTCGACTTTTGTCTGTGTTTTGTTTGTTACAGTTTCTAAAGATTATGAGACCGTCGTCCCTGTAGAGTCCTGTGTCATTTTTGTCTATTATTTTACTCAGTTCGTGTAGTAAGTAAATGCCTATGATTTCTGCCTCTGCACCGTCAAAGCTTCCCATTGTAATTGGCCATCCCATCTTTCCTTGTCCATGCTTTTTCATTGTGGAATAATAATGATTTACGGGAGTGTTAATGATGTTGATTTCCTTGGTTTTATTATTATTATTATTTGTTCCTGAGCTAAGTTGATGGCCTTATCTAGCATACGTTCTGTTATGGATGGGTAAAATTCTTTTATGTCTAATTGTAGGAATTGGCAATTTTGTTTGTTATTTATGTTGTGGAACCAGTCAATAGTTGTTTTTCGTATT